AGAAAAATGTGAATGATCGGAAAAAATGTTGAATGGACACAGTGAGCACTACAGGTATTCGAAGAATGAATGAAATTGTAGCAGCTTCAATTTTTATTCTTCATTATGCAGGAAGTGTATATATTTGTCTGGCATTGCAAAGAAACCAAGTACTTTTTTAAAATGAGAAATCTCAGTGAAATTTAATATTTTTAGACTTTGCTTGTCATGAAACATGAATGCCATGTCGAAGATAGATAGATTTAGGAGCAGTATAGCTCCTTGTGAAAGAGTTCGTCCAGAGAAAAACTGCCACCCTACCTATTTCTGCCGCGAAGCAGTAATGTGAGCATAACTACGTTCCGGTTTAGAAGGGGTAACGATACTGGTGCAATTACAGGCACATGGTACTTATTATACCTCAGGGTGACGGGCGCAGTGGCAGTGCCCATAAGATCTTTGCGATTTAAAGCTCTGAATGGCACTGCAACTGTTATGGATAGGCGTGTCGCTTACCACCAGGCGCACGACTTGTTCATCCCGTCACTTGGTATTATAAAAAATAAAGAAAAAAAGATAGCTACTAAATCTTGTTCAAGTTTTCGCAATTGTTATAAGAAACAATATTACGTATATTTGTTTTTTTTTTTTCAAACAAACCATCGTTTCGGGCCCTTTACAGATACCATGGTCACGGCTGACTGAGAGTCAAAGTCTGAAAGACCCGAAAAAATAGTTTCATTTCCTATGGCTACAAAAATTTTAAACATCGCTGCTTTTGAAAAACGAATCAATCTCTAGTTCAATAAGATCGAAAGAATTTTTCTTTGTGTTTGTTCCATCTTCGTATCAATAACAAACTAGTGAAATATTTTTACAAAAAATATATCAATGTCATAGTAGTAAAAACATCATCAATTTAAATAATCTCAGTACAGAGTACTAAAAGTTCGTGGAATTACATCTATTTGCCAATCGGTTACCGGAAAATGCGTGAAACCGGATTCATCCCCTAGTTTTCCACCCTTACAGATCGAATATTTTCTTTAAATTTAAATGAGACGAGTACCGGGGCACCTTCTTTCCAACAAAAAAAGAATCATCAAAATCGGTTCACAAAAACAGTTATCGCATAAATTACATTCAAAAAAACATGCAGTCGAATTGACAACCTCCTCCTTTTTTTGTCGGTTAAAAATATTGCAATAGTGGAGTCAAAAATTCAAGTAGTTTTTATATTGTTTTACTAATTACACAGTTTTATTCAAAATGTGGTGATAAGTTTTGTTACGAACATGACACCCACCCAGCTTTCCATTGGCCATCTTCCTGATAAATTCGGTGTTTTTCAGATAGTTCAGATATAATCGAGATAAAGTGATCAATTGTAACCCAATACTCTCACCTTAATATTCGTTTAAAAAAACATTTCCAAACGTAAGTTCTCGCTCCTTTGAAGCCCATAAATAAACATAGAGGCAAATAATAACACGTTACACGTTCACAAAGACTCACAAGGCAACGAGTTCCGACACTTACTTCGACAATTTAAAACGCATTAATAGAAATTGCTTTAAGAACATTCGACGTGGTTCATCCCGTAATAGCCTGTAATTCTTTAAATTTGGGAATTTAGACTCTATTTAACCTTGTGTTCTTTGATGTGACAACTTTAATTGTATTCATGTACTGCTTAGAGTTGACTATATAGGACGGCTAATCTATTATTATATCTGTTATGTTCGCTACTAATTCTGTGTATGCGAATAAGTTCACCGGTTCGTCAATCGGTTTTAAAGGTAAATTTATATCGAGTTCTTAAAGCAATTACACGGACGTTGCGTCATCGCAACGCTATGATTTCAACGTACTAAGAGCTATGCCTTGCACCGGCGTTGCAACGATGTTGCGTTGTGTTGCTGCGTTGTGCTACATATAAATCAAAACGACATGTCCTCTCACTCAGAAGTCCTGAAATGATTAAAAATAAAATGATAAAATGAAAAGAAAATAGTTATATTTATATAACAATGACAAAACTTTTCTTCTAAATACACTACCAAAACTTTCTAATTATTTTTCGAAAGTGTTAAGGTCTGAGAAAAACTTTATGCTATTTATAAAACAATTAAACAACTTATTAACTAATAAAATTGTACCTGTTGAAAATCCCCTAACATCATTGTCTAATTTTTGACATTTGTGTATTTATTTTCACATTATTCAAACAAATTATAATATTATTATTAATTTGACATCTAGTTACAATTATTATTATCAAAATTGACCCGGCGTTTAAATAACTGGCTGACTTATTAAATCCATATATGCACGCCCATGTGATATTATTTAAAAAAAATTGTAACACTTACCCAACCAGCACACCCATATCTAAATATATACTATAAGATATCTAATAGAATTTAATTCGATTTAATTTATTAACTCTATCACACAATCCCTCACTTCTTCTTATCATCTTTATGCTGATGACCTCCAGATTTACACCCAGTCGTCTATTCAAGACTTACCACGTGCCATTAGTACTACCAATGTGGACCTTGAATCCATTCGTCAATGGAGTCAGTCCTTTGGCCTTAAAGTTAATCCATCCAAAACACAATAGATTATTATAGGTAGCACTTGGTTCAATTCTCGTCTAAATCTAGCCTCCTTACCCCCTGTGGTTTTCGATGGTGTCTGTATTCCTTATTTGGATACAGTCAGGAATTTGGGGGTAATTTTTGATAAATGTCTGACTTGGAAGCCGCAAGTTGCTGAGGTTAGCAGGAGGGTGTTTGGTGCGCATTTCTCTCTGAGAAGGCTTAAAAACTTTTTGCCGACTAAAACCAAAATTACTCTGGCCCAGAGCATTCTCCACCCGATACTGGACTATGCAGATGTTTGCTACCCAGATTTGTCAGTAACTCTGCTCAATAAATTGGAACGGCTCCAAAATATGTGTGTTAGGTTCATCTTCGGACTACGTAAATTTGACCATGTCTCCCAATTTCGCGCACAAATTAAATGGCTGCCCATCCATCGGCGTAGAGATCTTCATATTCTTTCACTTCTCTATTCAATTCTGTTCTATCCCTTTACGCCTTCTTATCTTAAAGATCGCTTTACTTTCCACTCTTCTACACTCTGTCGTCCCCTTCGCTCCTCTGATACTCTCTTACTTAACTTGCCCTCTCATACCTCTAACTTTTATTCCAACTCTTTTACCATTTCTGCGATCAGATTGTGGAATTCTCTCCCTGAATCGATTCGACGATCCCCTTCTCTTGATTCCTTCAAACAACGTGTCAAGGATCACTTCCTCAACTCCTAAATTTCGTCTGTCCTCTACTATCCTTTCATTTATTTCCTACTTTTGTACTTCATTTTTCTTTTTCTATTAAAAGTATATAAGCATTTAATATTATTGTGTATTTATTGTTATGTATGTATTAATAATATTATTGTTAATTGTATGTATATGTATATTAATTTATGGATATGTATATATTTTTATTATTACTTATTATGTAGTGTACTTATGATGATATTCTTTGGTTGCACCCCTTTTGCATATCCGAAATGTCTATCCTAAGGTTGCCCGGAAGAAATTGCTACATAGCAATAAGGCCGCCTGTTGCACATTGACTTACTACTACTATTATACTTAAGCTATTGTATTGTATTTTAATTGTAATTTTATGTGCAATAAAGAATATTTCATTCATTCATTCATTCATTCATTCATTCATATTTCATTCGATTGAATATTTTAAGAGTTCAAATTCCCTCAAGATATCTCGAAGAAGGTTTCTAGATAATTTAAAGTAAAAGTAGGCACAACTTTATTAGTAGATCACAAATCACTTAAAAATATATTTTAAGCGATGTATTTCTAATAAATAATGAAAATTCGAGATGTGGGGAATTTGTGGGGAATATGATCTTTGCTCTCCCCATATTTGAGGATTTTAACCGTGATTTTTGGGGATTTTGAACAATTGGTATTGGCAACGCTGATTGTATCGAATGATGTGATTTAATATCCAAGGTTCACCACCTCCACTAGAACTTTTAATATTCTTTATTTTTTCCATTTTGTTTGAACTCTTACAACGTCCAATAGAGTAACAACCCTAATTGTAGTATTTTTTAAATAAAATCTACTGAAGACGCGTTATAACGTGTTTGTCAATAAGTACAAACACTACAGAATGTCCATAAATTAAATATATCTAGAATAAACTTAAGAACACTTGTTTTTAAAGTATTAATAGACGTTACTGGATGTGTATAGAACAATTTTACTAAAAATAATCAATTGTTGTTTGGTATTAACGTGTTAAAATTTTGACTTGAGTGAAATAAGTATATAAGAACAATTTATTTTTTCTAAAACCATTTATAGAGCACTATAATCTAAATCAATACCATATTAAGACTGTTTATAGATATAACAGTAAGGCGTATAAAGTGTGCTCCTTGGGTAGTTTAGTTCAAGTGCATAATGAGTAAATGTACAATATACTTTCAAATGAAACAATTCAATATTGAAAATAGAAACTTCCAGACGTTTTATATGACACATTCAAGTTCAGCTATAAAATCTTCAATTCCTACTCGAGCCGATAGATAATTTCGTCGGCTATAGGAAGCAATTGTAATTCACATGGTCTGGTGGAGTTACGAGGTTGTAAACTCCTAACTGCCACCACCATAATGAAGTTGTGCTCACATGCTAATTGCGATCTGCTGCCGACGTTATGCAACCTGTACATCATCGTCCTGACGTTCAGGCCTGCCATTTGCACAGCCTTAATTATGATTAGACACATTAATGAGGTAAGCTATTATAATAAGCTTGTCGCTGTCCAATTTAATCTTTGAAATGGTAATGGTAAAAGTAGCTATGTATAAGTATTGAAATCTGCGTAAATGGTTTACAGTTTATTTTTAAATCTAAGCGTTGGAGAACTTAGTAATTTTTAAATCTCTAATATTTCAAATTTCTTTTGTTACAGCGGTCCAAAGAGGTCGAGTGCCACCAACGCAACCGGCTGGTCTGGCCCTTCCCGGCCAGTTCGCATTGGCGAACGGCGACCCCGCGGCGGGCCTCAACAGCCATCCGTATCTCTCCTCTTACATTTCCCTCCTCCTTCGCGCAGAACCCTACCCGACCTCGCGGTATGGCCAGTGCGTCCAGCCCAGCAATGTCATGGGAATAGACAATATCTGCGAACTCGCCGCAAGATTACTCTTCTCAGCTGTGGAATGGGCGAGAAATATCCCATTCTTCCCTGAGCTCCAAGTGACCGACCAGGTCGCACTACTCCGGCTCGTCTGGTCGGAACTGTTTGTCCTTAACGCGTCCCAGTGTTCCATGCCCTTACACGTAGCCCCCTTATTAGCCGCCGCTGGATTACATGCGTCGCCAATGGCGGCGGACCGAGTGGTTGCCTTCATGGACCACATAAGGATCTTCCAAGAGCAAGTGGAGAAGTTAAAGGCGCTACACGTTGACTCAGCGGAGTACTCCTGTCTGAAGGCGATCGTCCTCTTCACGACAGGTAAAATTTTGGACAGTCTTTTTGGGGAAGCGCGGTTGTTGCTTTACAGGGTGGCCGGTGCTTGTGGAACTGTTGCTAATTATTCTGAGCTGGTGACTTTAGTAAGGACACACCTTGATGCTTATGCTGAGGCAACTCGAGTTCAACAACCGCCAGCCCCGCCGCCACCCTCCGCTACTTCCTCGGGATACTATTCATCTCTGGACAATTCACTTGGCGTCAACTCCTCTCTGTCTTACGGCAGCTTTCTTGCAACTCCTTCTCGGTTACCATCAAACTATACGAGTAGTCCCAGAGTACCTGAGGCTTCCACATCCTCCCCTTTTAAACCATGGGACGGAGGTACTAAAGTCCAGAAAGACCAGGGAGGTTGACGTCGGGTGGATAAATGAGGGTTTTTGGTATACACGGTGTTGGGTGATGAACAGTTTTTGTCACTTGACGCTTTTGGTTCTGGGTTTTGCGTTTCGCGAATCGCGTATTTAATCGTAGTTACGTTAAAGTTTCGCGTATTTAACCGTTACTTATTGAGTTATGTATCGTTATAATAACTCGCTCTCTTCACCACGTTGGGGAGTTTGCGACTTATTGTTCTAACTTATATTATCATTGTGATATTATATGATACGTATTATGTACATAGCAATAGGCTAGGCTATTTATTAATAGAGTTTAAAGTTAATTTGTTAGTCAAATGTTACCGCGACGACTACGTTACGTTTTATTAACCACGTAAATAAGATTGAATGATTTATTTAGTTTTTTAAATCTGAATATAGGCGCGCATTTTTTTTCTTAAAATTTATTTGGTTTCATTTTGTGTTTTTTCCCTTTTATTTAAGTCTTAAGAATATTTAAATCAATATTGGTAAGGTTTTTGGGGTAACATTGAAAGAGAAGTATAAAACTGTTTTACATAAAAATAAAACATTTACAATAATTATTCACTAAACAAAAATTTGAATATCTATACATTAAAATGTAGGCTAAAATTTTATTATACTAATATATAATGTTTTTACTACCTACAGTATCACGTATAAATATGTATTACCTAATATATAACTTGACTAATTTACAACGATTCTGTCAAGAAATAATCTTGGTGCACCCATTTACAAATTATAAACTACCTCAACATAAACACTAAACCTAGCCTATAGAACCACCGTTACTTGAAATGAACTTAAAATTGTATTACTCCTGAGTTGATAAATATAGTATATCCTGAGAAATATAGTATAAATTGCAGTTTACTGGAAATTTATAAGTTTTTAATTTTATAGTTACACGCGATTTTCGTTTAACTTACTTTGAGGCTGAATAACGTTTGACTGGAGCTTTTACAATAACATGCTTTTTTACTTAATTGTTTAATTTAAAATCCTATATTTCGAAATGTAACCATAGAAAGCATGAATAAATATTTGCATGAAAATTTTATTTTATGATACTCAGTCAAATAAGAATTTATTTCCCTGAGTATCATAAAAATAATTATTTGATTGTGTTTTAAAAAACCTACTAAGAATTTCTTTCTCGTTGCATACTCACGCAAAACTCGCTAGACCGATCATTTCTCATCAAAAGTCGTCATGCCAAATTATTAAGTATTTAAACGATGAATTTAAAACCTATTCACTATATTATAATTACTAAATCCTTGAAGAATGTTGATCAAAAGGAATACATATTAAATAGTATGTTTATTTCTTCAAAATATAATAAAATGTCTTTAAACGAATACTTAAGTAATAAAACGGTAATTTAATAAAAATCAACTTCTAATATTTAGTTACTTGTTACAAGTCGAACTATAAAACGAAGTTCGATTAAAAGATTTCAAATAATCACAATTCTATGCAAATAATCACCTATTATCACTATATAATCACTTTAAAGCCTAAGACATTTTTAGAGAAAATGACGTAACTAATAATTAGAAAATGCTTAAATATATGAATAAGTTAATAAATATAAATAATAATAAGTTAATAATTTATGAAAAATCAAAGACAGAACTAATAAGGCTCCTGAACTATGGGAGCTATTTTTTTATTACCCAGATCTTAACGGAAATCAAATACCTTGTTTGTGACTTGAATATTATATAAATTTGGTTAGTATACATCTTGTTTGTAATTAGGGTTTTAGTTAGTAAAATGATACCTTTTTTGCATGCTTTAGTGTTATTTTTAGTATATTCATAGCTTTAGGAATATTGTGTTGATAATTAAAACTTTTTTATAAAAAGAAAATCGACCTCAGAAATTTGCTTATCCAAACAAAACGTGGCAAGTTTTATTGAAATGTGCTTAAGTGGGTGAAATTTAAGAAAACGGATTCATCCCCATTTTTCCAACGTTAGAGGTGGAATATTTTCTTAAAATTTGAATGGAACCGCTATTGAGGTAACCATTTTCGAACAAAAAAGAATCCTCGGCATCGGTTCTCAAATATCGGAGTAATCGCGTAAAAAAACAAACACACAAAACAAAAAAAAGACAGTCGAATTGAGAACCTCCTCCTTTTTTTATGTAGTTAAAAATACGTTTTTCATACAAAACTGAGAGAATATGTCGCACTGTTGATACAATATTAACTCAAAAAGTGGACTTTCTCAGAATCAATGAAATACGAATTACTCACTTCAAAAAAAATCATTAAAATTTATGTATAATATGCATTGACTTACAATTATATGGACGTCAGGTCCGCGCTAAAAAGTGTCCGCACTTTTAAGGCGCTAAAATCGTATACAGAGCGCGACACTCCGCTTTAGTCTTCATTTGTTCTACTGACAGCGCGATACTGCGATGACATTACAATTTAAATTTCGAATAGGTTGACTTGGGACATTTTTTTCGTGGTTTTTGTATTAGACCCGTCGTCCATTTATTTGTAAGTCAATGATAATATGTTATAGTTTATTGTAAACACAAACAATTTCCCAAATATATTTAAAAATAAAATGGGAAAAACAATTTAATATTTTTGAATATGGAATATTTTGGCCAGAACTAGCTAACATAAAGTGTCTCTCATTTTGAGATATCTTTTGATTGTTTCTTGCAATATTCAATCGACGGTTTTTTGACGCGTAGAGAATCAAATTTTGCGTTCAATTATGATATAATATTAAATTTCACACATATTGAGTTACAACACTATTGTAATAGCAGTGCGATGCGTTTGGACCTGAATCATGTAATTATATCATTACACGTTCAGTGCTTTTCCCATTGTATTTGGCTGGGTCTTTTAGGAGGTTTGTATCGATATTCATTAGCCGCCATTTATACTCCTATTGTCTCACTAGTAAGGTGTAGGTGTGAATGCGCGAAGTTGACAGACAGACCTGCGTGATTGCGGGACAGTCAATGCAACTCTAGTCAACAGAGATACTTTTGTTTTATACCTTCTAGGGCCAGGGTGTGTAGTTCCGATTCAGGAGAAAGGATAGTCACTATTGATAGACGTGCTTAGAGACGTATTCACACGAGTTTCCGACTGACAACTGCTATGCAGTCGTGTATCGCGGATAGTACGGCTATACACTGGACTTTCAATCCCCTTATCGTAAGGAAGGGAAATGTACCGTTATCCGGATTCTACTCTTCTTCTTCCTGTCCTTATCCCACTCTACCCACTTAGAGTATATTTATAACATGTATTTTTCTTCCACTCTCCCCTATCAGTCGTCATTTTTATACTCACACCTTTCTTATCTATGTCATCTTTCACACAACCCATCCATCTTTTCTTTGGCCGTCTTGTCTCCTTATATCCCTCCACATTCATACCTATCACTCTTCTTGTCACATGACATTCTTCCCTCCACATGACATGTCCATACCACGCTAACCTATTACTCCTCATCTTTTCCGTCACTGTCGCCAGTTTCAAACTTCCCCTGATGTACTCATTCCTTATCTTATCCTTTGTCGTCACTCCACACATCCATCTCAACATTCGCATTTCCGATACATGCACAGTTCGTTCATCCTCCCTTTTCATCGCCCAACATTCTAATCCATACAACATGACATGTCTAATCACGGTCTTGTAAATTTTCCCCGTATTTTTATCCGGATTCTACTGTCACTTGTCAAATAATTTTATGCTTCAAATACTGGAATTAAGGTATTGTGTTGTTTGTATTGTTCATGCAATAATTAGTAAATATTACATTAGATGTTTTCTATTGATTCGTATTCCTTCCGAATCTGAGAAATGACGGTCCGAAATGTCACAGGGATAATTTTATCTCTAGGTGCACAAGCGATGTTTGTATTTTCTCGGATTTGAATAGGACTTAGTGCACAAGTGAGATCCGAAGTGGGTCCGAGTTTTATAGATTTGTACAGTCTCGGAGTCGGATTGTGTGTGCAAACACTCTTTCTAATTTTTTTTTACTTTTTTCGGGAAAAGTATTAGATACGTAAGATAATTTGGTGTATCTGTATAGTTTTGGATCTTCCCTATACAGACCCAATTAAAAAACGCGCTGTATATTCCTAGCGGTAATTTTTAGGCAAGTAAAACCAAGAAATTTTTGTTCATAGGTATTTTGTCTCACCAGTATCGGATATTTAAAAATAAGCTTGTGGTAACATTTATATAACCACTAAACCTCTTTAAATCAGTAACATTTATTCTATTGAAAATCATGAGGTTTTTTTACAATGACATTGATATACTCGTACTTCTACTAATTTGTTATTATTATTGATACCAACATCCAACAAACATAAAGAAAAATTCGTGAATCTGACTGAACTCGAAGCAGCGTCTGTTGCCCAACCGTGGCTACCTCTCGGTTTGTAGCTCTGTTGGTAAGAGCGGTAGCCACGGTGATGCAACAGACACTGGTTGCACTCTAAATTAGTTTAATAAACAACTAACGCTTACTACTACAGAATAACAATTTACCAACTTTTGACATAGTCTAGACATAAAACCTAGGCACCAACTAAAACCTAGAGCAGTGATACGCGAGA